TTTCGTCGAACCTCTATCGTAAGAGCGTATCTGCATTTTGAAATAAGCCACGTCATCCATATGATCCTGTGCTTTAACAGAACTCACGTCCGAAGAAGACAATTATGCGTTTACGTCAGAGGTACAACGCGTGTCCTCTTTTGTCAGGACATCAATCAGAATTTTGCAATGGATGAAAACCTACATCTTTTAAAGTTTGCATTTTGTGCGTCTACTCAAACAATGTGTCACTCCGGAATAGTAGAGTAGCGTGCTTTGCGATACATCGGTGGACCTGCCATTTAAACCTTTGTAATGGATCGATATACAGAATAATCGATGCTTTCCCATAGCTTCAAACGGGGAAATCTCGATAATCGATCTCGGAACATTATCGGTCGGGGACTGCACTAGTGCACTTGGCCATTTGGAGGTGATGCAATTCACATAGCTCTCTTTAAGTCAAATTTCTGAAATATGGCTGTTGAAAGCATCATGAAAGCATGGAGACACCAAAGCAAGAGCTTAAAATGTATTACTGTTGGAGAATTTATTGATTATGAAGAATGGTGCAAATTCGGACACTCCTTACTTTTCCAGCATTAGTGACGTATTGAATCATATTTTTTTTCAAAGGCACCGGCTTGAGAGTCAAACAAGACTGTATGGTATCTTCCGGTTGACCGATTCCAATGTGAGGAGGAATCATCTGTAAACAAAGAAAATATATTGGATTGTAAGGAAAAATTTAATCCTGAATAGTACGCATCAAATTCAAAATTTTAGCCGTAAATCTCTGGGGGCCCATTCACTCGAAATTTGACGAATAAAAGCGGCGACAGACCAATAAGTTAATATTCATTTTTATTGGATTTAGTCCAAACGCGAATTCCTAATTTATTTTACGGATGCGATTTACTTTCAATTTAAGGCTTTTAATAGTACCTACCCATTAAAAGGAATGATGATATATATAGTTAATTGCATAAAGCATTAGCATACCTTAATGCGGTATTTGAAAGTTCAAGGCAAATCGACGGTGAAACTACTAAAATGCCTATCTCTGTTGCGATGTCTCGAAATATCCGCGCTACTATTTTATCTTTTAAACGAAGACAGAACCAACATCATGGATTGAAGTTTTCATAATATATCTTTCATAAAGAGAAGAAAATTCAGTAAAATTTTCAAAAAATGACGTTCAGTAGTTTTTCATTGAGAAAATCAAAATGGCAGGGAGTTCCTGGTAAAAATTGGCGATAGGAGCTGCGTTTCAAAATACCATAGGAGTTCTTATTGCCGACTGAAGAAGGCGATAGAAAATCATATAGCTGGCTGTAGAAAGTGGAAAAAATCATACGGCCGGGCTACACGAAGCGATAAAAAATTAAAACAGCCGGGCTATAGTTCCTGTCGCCGGGCTTTACACTTTATCGCCTGGCTGTTAATTGCTTTTTCGCCATCGGCTATAAAAGGCTATAAGAAATTGTGTAGAAATTCGTGTGCTTTGTAAATCCTTAAGTTTGTACGGAATCACCATAGTATTTACAAAACGCACATTATATTTCCCTTTACTACATATTTGTTTTCATCAATTAAAATGAGAATAATCCATACAGAGTGTGCAAACATTTCAAAGTCATGAGTTGAAAAACGCCACTCCACAAGATTAAATATTAGAGCCTAACACAAAGCGGAGCGGCGGCACACTGGCGCCTACAAACCTAACAGGGATACTTCACGCATTGCGCGATGCGTGAAGTATCCCTGTTAGGTTTGTAGGCGCCAATGCGCGTTCCGCGCTGGCTGCCCGCCCGCCGCGCCGCAGCGTACCGCGGCGCTTGAAGCAACTATTTCACACCAGAGGTATTGCACAGTATCATAAGAAATTGAAGGCGCTCCACCATATTAGGAATGGCAGGCATCCTTCAAAAGTACGGAGCTTTCCTCGCAAATTAAATCAAGATACCGCGGCCCAAAAAGAGAGCGGTAGTCCAAAAACTCACTAAGTCCGAGCATCCGTAATTATTAGTAATGTTTAGCATACACTTTATCGCCAGGCTGTTGCTTAATCGCCATCGGCTATAAAAGGCTATAAGAAATTGTGTTGCCGGCTATAGAAGCTATTGGAAATCTTACAGTCGGCTGTAGGTCTATGGTATTTTGGAACACAGATTCTACAGCCAATTTTTACCAGGGGTCTGCAACACCGCAAAGCGAGGCACGCATTTCTGCTGTTTCACCGTCGATATGTAGAAGGGTCCCTTTTTTTTTAATGAAATGTAATTGTTATCTAAGTATACGACTAAGTTTCTATGAAGAAAAAAAAATGTTGGAAACTGGAGTATTATACATATTTGTTAATTCATTTAAACACTTAATATGAATATTGAGGAGCAATGGAGTTCTCACCGGAGTTATTTTAAATCGCTCCTTTGGTTCCTTTACGTCTATTGCCGGGCCTTGTTCAATGTTCAAACAATTCTTATAAAATCTTCTTGTAAAGAGATCGCAGTCATACAGGAAGAACCTAGACAAACACGAATTTCTTTCAATGAACAAATTTTAACCCAGAAGCATTCTACGTGTAATTGTGTTATCTGAAAGCGCTTTCAACTTTTCCTCGGCAAACGAGTATCAGAGGAGATCATATTTTTACTCTTGAACAACTGGTGAGAACACCCCCCCCTCCAAATCTCTACATATAGCTTCAATGTATTAATTAAGCGGCTACGGGCCGCAGAACATCAACAGATTCTGAGAGAGTGTTCATCTATAATTGATTTACTAAATAAAACTAATCTAGCATGAGAGTCAAGACATTGCCTGAACGACAGAATTGGAGGCTCTCGTTGCCCAAAAGCATTTGTGTCAAAGCTGAGGACAGGAAGGAACTCTGCAAGGTAAGCGCTGATAACGCAAATACTAGTAATTTGCAGATTATTTTTATATTTTATTACTAAAAAAACCATCTTACTGTTTTCTCAGTATGCACAATGTTTCTCCAACTAGGAGGTCTCGGGGGCCGAAATATTCTACATTTTCCATATCAGCTGCGTCCGGTGAGCTTGCATTCGAGGCTGAAATCCAAATGAGTAAACGTGAAAAGAATGGAAGAGAAGAATCGGATTAGATTCTCTTACATACTGATAAGGCTTCCATTAATGCCATTGGGAAGAGAACTTATTATGTTTTGACAAAAGAACCATGTTTTGAATAGCATAAGTCAAGCCTTAGAACCAAAATTGTGCTTAGTGCTATACTCAAAACACCAAAATTGGTTAATTTAATGAACATTCCAGTCAAACTGAAACGAGCATGCTCTTTCAATAATTTGATTCATTTTGCACGAGTATCACAGGGTCACAGCTATATATAATTTTCTATCGCCTCCTATAGCTGGCTATAAGAATTCTTATTGCACTGAAAAAAAAATCTCGGTGTATTTACTAAGGAAAGAGTAACATTACCAAGAATTCAAGGTTCTATTTGATCCCAGTTTTTTCTTGGTAAAATTACCATTTATGGAATTGGTAATTTTAGGGAGAAATCTCGATAAAATTATTGAACTTTCTCGGTAATTTTACCGGACCGTGGTAAAAACACCAATATTTTTTATCGACTATGGTAAAATTACCGAGATAAAATGGCAAAGTTACCGGGAATTGATTACCAATAAAAGTGGTATTCTCACCTGAAAAAAACAGTAAAAATACCGGTTTTTAGGTAAGTTTACCAGTCTGTCTTGGTAAAATTACCAATAATTGGTAAAAAAAACTGAGATTGTAAAGGTACCAACGGACCTTGGTATAAACGCCGAGAATTTTTTTTCAGTGTGTATTTTGAAACGCAAGTCCTATTGTCAATTTTTACCAGGGTTGTTTGAATCGATTTTACAAATTTGGAATGGGGTTGCGTTCCTTCGCGTGAGAGACGAGATATGAAATACGTAGGGCACGCCAGGTATGACGTCATTTCACGTTTGGCGGGCGCGATTGAAAGTAAACACTTTAAGTGAGTCTCCTTACCTGGCAGGATCTCCCAGTTTTTTGGTACTCTCATTCGGTTGAGCACTCGCGGAAACGGATCTCTGCCGCTGTTTATTTCTCTCGCCTCAAGAATTTCCATCCGGTCGTCTGAGAGGTAGTAGTAGATGGTGCACGGTCGTTTTTCGTTCGATTCTCCGTCACTATTCAGCCACACCGCGTAAAACCTACGATTAAAAGCGTAAGAAAAAACATATTTAATCGAATACAGCCGATCATTAAATATCAACGCCTTTAGAAATGAGATCGTATATCGACGGTGTAAGTCGGCAATCACATAACTCGGTTTACGACGTCGCAGAATTCCTGTCGTACTTTATTTTTAAACGGAAAACTACTCAACAGCAATTCTTTAAAACTGCCGTGATTTTTCTTCTCTGTGCGAAGAAAATTCTGCATAAT